AAACCCAAAGCCCTAAACCCGAAACATATCAGGGCCTTGAGGCGTTTAGGCGGCTGAGGCTCCATCTTTAGAACAGGATGTTCTTTTTGTGTGGTGCCATTGTCTGTTGTGTTAGGGTCTATGAGGGGATGATGAATTAGAACAGGGTTTTCGGTGTATTTTATAGTGCCGGGGGCCATTTGCTTGAGATTATCAAGACCTGCCCTAAACCCTAAACCCCAATAAGTCTTAAACCCATAACCCTAAACCGTGGCTCTGCCGGCACTTTCTGGGTTCTGCCTCAAGCGGTAATGCCATGCTAAGCTCTGAAGTTTCACAAGCCGTTCATAAGAAGCCGAAGTACTTCGAGGATTCTTTGACGAGACCCCAAAGATACCCATGGTCCATATAGATATGTACTCTGTAGAAGCCTAGGTAGTAGGATCCTCGCTAGAAGTCCTGATGACAAGGGCCTGAACCCTGAACCCCAAAGCCCTAAACCCTAAACCCTGAACCCTGCACCCTGAAACCTGAAACCTGAAACCCTAAGCCCTAAGCGCGAGGTGGCCACTTCTCGCGGCCAGCGGCCTAGCCTTCGTCTTGGCTGAAGTGGACCAAGTGCGACTCTGCTGGTGCCTCGGAGATAAGTTGCGGGGTTTAGGGTTGAGGGTTTAGGGGTTTAGGGTTTAGGCTTTAGGCTTTAGGGATTAGGGTTTAGGGGTTTAGGGTTGAGGGTTTAGGGTTGAGGGTGTTGGGTTTGGGGTAACGGCAGTAGCAGCAGAGGGAAGCCAGTGCGGAGAAGAGTAGGAGCAAGAGCGCTGCTAGAGTAGCACTGTGACGGTAGTGGTGGGGTGGTGACGGCCTGCTGGTGGTCGTCGTCGAAACCTCCCAAGTCCGACGACTGCCGCCAAGACTTGCTGGAATAAGCTGACTTTGTTTGGAGAAGCACAGCCATTTCCGGATGATGCGTTGCAGAGCTTACGGTAGAGCTACGTCCCAAAATCAGAACACTCCAACCTTGAAGCCATCTGATCCCCAGCTTCTTTGATTATGCTGCGCCCCAGACCCCACAGCCGTCACCTAGCTGTTACATAACTTGCAGCAGCAAGGAAGGGGCTCAGGGAGACGTTTGAAGCCACCAAAAGGGTAACCCTAAACCCCTGAACCCCTAAGCCCTAAACCCCTAAACTCCTGAACCTTAAAACCCTAGACCCTAAACCCCTAAACCCTAAAACCCTAAACCCCTAAACCTTAAACCCTAGACCCTACACCCCTAAACCCTAAAACCCCAAACCCCTAAACCTTTAACACTAGACCCTGAACCCCTAAACTGCTAAACCCTAAAAGTATAGACCAGGCAGCGACTCCCAAGCTCCCAGGCAGTGTCGACATCTGGAGCTTCACGGTATGAAGACTTGCATGGTGATCTATCAGCACCACGGCCTTTACCTTTAGAAGCGGACTCTTTCAGCACCACGGCCTTTCGAGTAGGTTCTTGTGAGCCTTTGGAGGTACGTCTGTCCTATGCTGAATTTCAGGAGCCCTGGTAGTCTGGGATTCTTCAGTCTCCTTGAAAGCCTCTTCGAAACCCTGAATACGAGGGAGCCTTCGAGAGATGGTAGGGCGTAGGGATCCTTACTGAGCGGCCGCTCAGGTGGTGGCAGCAAGTAACCAGCAGTGGCCGTAGCTGTGGTCGTCGTGTCTGCAAACCACTCACAGTCGCAATCATGACGGTCATCGTGCGCACGAAAGGGGTAGTCACGAATGCAACATTCAAGCTGTCTAGCGTTCGGCCCGTACATGCAGGCTTGCTGGTGTGTATTTGCTTTGAGCTTGAAACTTTGCTCTAAATCCCCATGCCCTCGCCCTAAACTGGAGCACAGGCGATGTGGGTGGGGGGGGGGGGGGGGGGGTGAGTACGGAAACCCAACGTGCATGCGCATGCTCAACACTACAGAGCGAGACCTTCAAGCCTGCAAAGGGTGCTGACCTTCGTGTTCTACACCATTGTTTTCCTCATGGGCCGATTCTTTGTCATAGTTGGGTAACATTTTACATTTTTAATTGTACTTAAACCCAATAAGGAATATAAATTTAAATTTTTAATACTACCCCAACCATGAACTAGGATTCGGGTTCGTTGGTCTGCAACTGGAGCAGTACATCTACGCCTACTGCGACTCGACAGTCAAGGCCATGACTCAGGGAGTGCACACGACAGGTTGAATCCACATCCCGAAATTATAGTGGAGAGTCGTATATAGTGATCGTATATTATGGTACATGCTTGCATATGTTATGAATCTTATAATGTGCTATGCTAGTATAATATTGTCATTGTTATCGTATAGTATGTTAGTGTAGTAGAGCAAACAAGTACAGTATAATATAGTACATCATAGGAAATATGTTAACAATCGTTTATTCTGTTTTGTTCATTATGGTACATGATAGCTCATCCTTGCAGGAGAATGGTGGTGTTTACAGTATACGTGCAGCAGGGCTGGAAGCTTCTTTCCGCGCCTCTCCTGCTGTGTTTCTTCTGCACATGAACCGATGCAAGAGCCGATGTGGCGTAAAGTCCGATTTTGCACAGCAGCCTCTCGCAAGCTCCAAACCTCAGAGCCTCACACCATGAATGCCCCAAGTCCTATATTCAGGGGTTTAGGGTTTAGGGTTTTAGGGTTTAGGGTTATAAACCCTAAACCTCAAGCCTATACCCCGCAGGTGCTGCAGGGTGCCCTTCTGGCACTCATCCGCGGCTGTGAGGACGCGCCTCGGTGCCGAGGTTCTACATCCCTGGGCTTTTGGAATCTGGGTAGTTCTCTAAATTAGGGTCCCTTTTGGGGTCCTTGTTATAAGGGTGGCGTACAATAATGGGGACCTAAAGAGGGACCCTAATTTAGCGAACTACCCATCTTCAAGCGAGGGGAACATCGAGACCGGGTTGAGGCTTTCGGCTTTAGGGTTTACCTCTAGTCTCCATTGTAGTTCCTTTTTTTTGGTGTAACCAAGTATATATTAAGGATTTTATAAGGTATCCCCAAAAAGGAAATGCAATGGAGACTATAGGTAGGGTTATGTCGGGAATTGGGGCCAGAACTCGTCAGACTGCAAGTTCGTACGGGTTCCAATCGAAGAGAGTAGGGTTTGGGGTTTAGGGTTTAGGGGCTCCTGCGTGATGGCAGTACGTGTCGAAGCATCGTTCAGCCAAGTGGCCCAGGGTTGTTGCGACTCCGAAACAAAACGTGCAGGCCTTCAACAAAACGAAGCCATAAGCCGACATCAACCCAGAGCAACCACATGGATAGCAACCACATAGTACTATGGCGGCCCTCAGCCCTTGTGCATAGTGGGATTGTGTGGCTCAGAGCCTCCGGGGAGCAAGGGCTCAGGGCTTTCGCGTGGGCTTAGGTTTTCGGGTTAACGACCGCAGCGAAAGCGCCGAGGCACAGACGATCCACCTCTGGTACGCAGAAGCCGTCGCATACAAGAAGGCTTGGATCCTATTCCTTAGGGTCCTTGCTACAAGGGTGCTTAATAACTATAGGGGTAGTTCTCTAAATTAGGATCCCTTTGGGGGTCCTTTTTATAAGGGTGCGTACTATATTGGGGACCCAAAAAGGGACCCTAATTTAGAAAACTACCCATGGGCTTAATATAGTGTTCTACAGTCATCAGGACCCCCGATTCTAACTAGGGTGCTTAATAATCATAGGCTTAAAACCCTAAACCCCAAACCCTAAACCTAGTGTTCTACAATCATCAGGACCCCCGATTCTATCCATGACCAGGTCACGCAGGGCGACAAGGCTCAAATCAGTATCGATGCTTTCATTCCGTTTGGTACATGTGTTTTGTCCGTGTATCTGCTGTGTCAGTTAGAAGATGTTAAGAAAAGCAGCTGGCGGTAAATGGTCAACGTAGGACCGTCGTCATCACCATCACCATACATCATCAAGATTGTTGTTTTTGTTGATCGCCCCCTGCCACCGTCATCATCACCATCATCACCATCATCACCAGCATCATCAGCATCATCAGCATCATCATCATCAGCATCATCAGCATCATCAGCATCATCATCATCATCATCAGCATCATCAGCACCATCGTCATGACCATGACCGTGACCATGATCGTGATCATGATCATGGTCATCACCACAATACTCATCATCATCATCATCGCAGTTGTTTTCTCTGCGACTGCTCTTGCGCAACTTACCTCATCATCGTGTCGTGTGTGTACCTTGATGACGGCCACGGCGACAGCACTGATGAAATCGCTGGTGATATTGCCAGAAGTCGTTGGAGGTTTTGATGATCATCCTAAACCCTAAACCCTAAACCCTAAACCCTAAACCCTAACATACGTCTTCTGTTTTAGGTTATCTCTGGTGCGGGCAACTGCTCCGAATCTGCAGGACTTTGATGCCATACTGAAGATGGCGCACGTGCCGATCTTTGCCATTCGCACAGACCGCACCATCACGAGATTCTCGCCGGCGTTTGGGGTTTATCACATTCAGATATACCGCGCCATGCAGCATCCCTCCAAGAAATGCAGGGCACCAACAAGAAGCCATCGACTGACCAAAACCTGTTTGCTCAACTGCTCGACACCTTTGTGACAGCCCGAAATCCTCCAGCAGGGGCAAGATTTATTACTGTCGCATTGATGCGAGATGGTGACGATAGCCAGGAAGTGCATGATGATGATGATCATGGTGAGCATGACCAGGATGATGCTGGTGATGATGACCATGATGATCATGATGATGATGATGGTATTGATGATGACGATGGTGGTGACGATCTTGAGTCGTGGCGCTGTACACCTCTGTTCCTTCGCCTTTTGTGAATGCCGAGTTTTTCTTGTGATGCTGAGGAGTGAACGAGTCTGCGGTGGCATCTTCGCATCAATTGATTGCTAGACGGTTCAGATTTCAGGTTCAGTTTTCACCGAGTTCGTGTTGCACCTGAGGTTGCACTGCCTCTCGCATTGAGAAGGGGGCGCATGTAAAGCTGCCTTGCACATCTTTTTGAAAACACTTCAGGACTAAAACTGTCTTGTATTACAACAACAACAGCAAACCATAGTAGTCATCACACTAATAACAACAATAATAACCGTAGAAATCATAATATATCCAAAATGTATCAGCTTTCAATGACCATGACGGGATACCCCGGGAGGCAGACCGGAGGTCCGAAGCGCAAGCCTCAACGGCGAGGGAAGCCCAAGCTTGACCCAACGAAGCTCGAGGACATAGTCTTATTGTTACTCATAGGACTATGAGTTGTTCTTCTTGTTCTTGTTGTTGTTGTTGTTGTCGCACTTTGGCTGCTTGCGCGTCTTCGCTTCGTTATCATGGTTCCGATGATAGGATCCCACAGAGCGTCTTACCTATGTCCCCCGGAGCTGTTTTTTGCGAGTCAGCTGCGACATGCCAGGGCCCAAGACCCCAAACGGCACACCGGAACAGAGGCTTCCTCAGCCCACGACGGTAGCACTGAAGCATGATGTTTTGACATCACATCACGTATCATCAGTCACCATCGTGAAGGCTGCATGTCATTGCACCTTCCGACTGAAGTACCAACTAAGAAAACGCTGCCATTTCTTGGGCCATGGGGAGCTCAGCATCTATGCCACAGTTCCATCCAGCCAGGAACTGCTTGGACTGAGCAGTGGGAGCGATGTTCTCGGCCGGGTTCTCAGATGTGTTGGCGGGAGTGTTGAAGGTTTTCGTAGTTTTTGAGGGGTAATGAAGTGGCCCGAAAAAGTTCATGCTGACACACGCCACTGCTATCATCAACCCTACATCGCAGTCTGTTTGTGAAGGCCCCCGCATTGCCCTTCTTTTACGGATTCAGGCCCAGAGGAGTACAGAGACTCCTAAATCTAATCTATTGCTCTAAGGTTTAGGACTTTCAGCCTTAAGCCCTAAACCCGAGACTGCAGAAAGTGAAGGCGGAGGTCCGGGTGAGCGGCAGGCTTCCCAAAGCTAGCATGATATAATTCAGATGTCTTCCTACCTAGTGAGATATACTATACCCTGGAGCACATGAGTGTATGTGCAGATGAAACCGGAGAAAGTCTCGTCTGATCATTCAGGCCTCGGAAAAGACGCCTTAATAATTTCAGATGCTCCCTAGAGATGCTATTCCTGCGCGTTCCTATGACACTTACTGTAAACGGTACCCAAAGCCGTATCGAAATGATTACGGCCCCCACTGTATACAACCCCTAAAAAAGATCCCGTAGAAAAATAAAAACCTTTTCAGGAATGCTTCAAACGGAACCCCACTCTAATTACTCAGGCCCCTTCAGTAAAGGACGGCACAGTAAAGATCAGGCAAGGACCTGAACGATCTCCTTGTCCAGAGCAGCAAGGAGGCGAGGTATGAGCATACATGTTTATTTTGGGGTTTAGGGGTTTAGGGTACCCTAAACCCTAAACCCTAAACCCTAGGGTTTATCCGAAGTGTTGCTTTTTTCAGGCTGTCATGGTTGAATAATGGTTTTGCTATCGGAGTCAGCTGGTCTCCTGTAGTGACTGTAGTGGACATCAGACTGCTGGTGCCACGGACTTTGTTCCTGCTTCAGTTCATTCCAGTAGTGAGAGGGGGCTTGGGGTTTAGTTTCGGGTTTAGGGTACGACTCCCCTAAAGGTCACGTTCCGAAGAGTAGGTTGCCAAGAGAAGGACCATACTGACTGTAGAAATCTGCCGCACAAGCACTGTGCTGTCGCGGCTTCCTCCTGAATAGACTGTGCGCCGGAAGCCAAATCCGCAACATCAAGGTTTTCTGGCTCAGGGCTTTTAGTGAGTGGGCTCCGAGGTAAGAGAGTTTCGGGGCTTCGGGCTCCGGGTACCCCAAACCCTAAACCCTAAACCCTAAACCCCTAAACCCTAAACCCTAAACCCTATAAGCCCTATAAGCCCTATAGACCCTAAACCCTATAAACCCTAAACCAGCCACTACGATCTTGCAATCTCAGGGCCAAAGGCCCGAGCCCTGGGTCGGACCTTTCAGTAAACTCCTGGAGTTCCGGCAAGCCGGAGCCTAAATTCCACGGCAACCCTAGGACCCTAAACCCGAGAGCCTAATATAGGGGCCTACAGAATTACCTATACTATTTGTGGGGGTTCCTTATTATAAGTATAGTATAATGGGCCCCAAAACCCTCTTCTGATTACTAAGGCCCCCTACATTGAACTGTGAGCGAGGCAATTTCTCGTTCTCTGGAGAAGATGCGAAAGGATCAGTGGAGGACTGTACGGTGACCACTTTTAAACATGTGGAGGGCGGGCTCGGGCCACGAGCCACGGAGGTAGTTTAAGATATCTATTTAAATCTCCGCATGTTCAAATGTATGTAAGTACCTTATACACACGTGCTGCACACACACACACGTGCACGAAGGGAAGTTGAGTTTCTGTTTTAGTGTTTAGAAAAACACCCTAATTGCCGCAGTTAGGGTTTTAAAAGGTCAGTAGTATTCCACCGTACGGGTTAGGCCAGCCCAAGCAGTTCCCAGCCCAGCCCAGCCCCCAGCCCCTGGCCTAGGCCAGCCCAAAACAGCCCTGACTGCCGCAGTTAGGTTTTTCTCCTTCCCCACCCCAGCCCAGCCCAGCCCCCAGCACCCCAGCCCCGGTGCAAGCCCAAAACAGCCCTAACTGCCGCGGTAAGGTTTTTTCAGACCCAAAACAGCCCTAACAGCCCAGCCCCAAGCGCCCCAGCCCCGCCTTCCCAGCCCAAAACAGCCCTAACTGCCGCAGTTCGGCTTTTTTCCTTCCCCACCCCAGCCCAGAGCCCATCCAGCCCCAAAACAGCCCTAACCGCTGAT